ACCAGTTAAAAGTTCCCCATAGTAACTTTAAGTAAAAGATCTGGTTAGTTTGGCTTTCCTATGCAAAGGTCACAGGTCACAGTCCAAGCCCCTCTACTGACGCTGTGGACTTGTCTCTAGAGTCGCTATTCTGATATTGAGTTGTCTTGGTTTCAGCCAGCACTTAATGTTCCTGCCTTCTAAGCCTAAAACCCCTAACCTACAAATCTCAATATTTCACAAAATGCAAAACTTTTGGTTTGAAAAAAAAATAAATGGCGCTTGCAAAGTGCAAGCAGCACTTATTGTGTTTGCACTCCTTTCTCCCAAAAAAAGGAAATAAACAGCATGGCTAGATGCCAAATAGAAGAGGGTGGCTGAGGAGGTGCAGGCAGTATGGGTCAACTGTTCTGCAGGCAGATTTTTTAAGTAAGTTATAAAGTCATGAGGATATTGGTTTCTTTCTGGAGTTTCCACCTCCTCTGTCTGGCTCACTGCTCTAAAATCCCATCTGCACGAATCTCACATTTGTAGACATGATACTGACTAATTTCAACATGTTTGAGAATCTGCAGATGTCTGAGACAGCATAAAGCCTGACTCAGGCTGCCTCAGTCTACATGTATCCATCCATGACATAACGTCCCTGAGAGCCAACAGCGTGTGTGTTTTTCTTTTACAGATCACAGAGTCCTCCTCGCTATCTTGTCTGTAGTTCAGTTCCCACCCAAACTATCTCTCTGCCCCACACACTGGAGCAGCAGGGTCTGACACAACCTCATCTCTGATAGCAGGACTCACACTGCATCATGTATAGCGTGAGGGCAACAATATACAAGAACAACAACCGCTCTGCAATAAAAAGCAGCTATGGAATGTTGAGGCGTTATGAAGCATTTGATTGGTCGTAAAGGTGCACATATCCTCCAATGAGCCAGGCTTCCACAAGAGAAGTCAGCAAGAAGATGTAAAATACAGGCAACAAACTAGATGGTCAAATTCATACACACAACACAACCAATATGATATTTCAGAATGATATTTGAGATGAACTTCAGGCGATCACACATTTACTGGAAACAATTGAAATGCTTCATGCAGCAAGTCTGTGCACACTGCGATCTCCAAAGACAGAGAGCTACTTATCTTTTTTAAAGCAAATATATCTTCCGTTTGTAAGAGTCTGCTATGAAAGTTTCAGCTTGTACTATATGGCATCGCCTCCAGAGTATACAAAGCAGTCAACAGAAATGACTATCACCTTGTGTGGGTTTAAGTTACTGTCATGCTGAGTGCAGCTTAGCTCACATGGAAACAACAGTTCATTTTGCACAAATCTAGTTCAATTCTATCACCGGGGAAACTAAATATGTTGTGAAACAGTGAAGACGAACTGCAGTGAAAACATGAATATTCTGCAGAAACTTTGCACTTCCTGCTGTTTGCTTCTCTTTTCCAACTATAATATTTTTGTCATTATAAAGTGCTGGTTACAAAAGAAGATTGAGTTTAAATAAGTGGACGTAAGGTAGAAAACATGCTAGAAAGACAATATCAGAGAGAGCCGATGTGGTTTTGCAGGATGTTGGGGGGGGGGGGGGGGAAAGTATTCGTGGAATCTGAGTTTTTAAAAATCACATGACATGCTAAAGGTTTGTCCTACTGTATCATCACTACTGATCATGGCTCTGAAGCGCTTTAGTCGCAGGACTTTAATGAACTGTGTAAGCTAATAAAATCAGATTACATCTATACACCCTCTGAACACAGATCCAGCTATAACTAGACCTTGAAGTAGAGAGCGTGGTAACGTTTTGTGGCCTTTCCTTGATGCTTTAAATTCCACTGAGCTTCTAAGTCAGTTAGGTGTCTGTTTTATGACAGAGTGAACCAGTCATACTGGCCTGAAACACACACAGCTTCATATATACACCTCAGGCTGCATCAGTCACGATAATATCCTGTTCTTACAAGCTCTGAACATAGTCCCAGCAGATGCTTTTACCCTGCGTCTTCATCATACAACACTTTAAAGGACGTTTTATTTACTGTGACACTGGACTTTCTACTGCTTTTTGTGGTTCTAGAAGTAGTCGGCATAGAACTATTGGTCCATAATAATACTAATAGTGTGTCACTAAGTAAGTAAATGACACACTGTTGTAAAAACAAAATAGGGAAAATACGAACTCATTAGCAAACGTCTGGCTGGTACAGACTGAGTTCTGCTGTTATTGGTCTCTTAACTTTACCATGGATTACATAATAGATGTGCACACCATATGGTTGGCAAGGCAATCCCAAATATCCACTCCTCCAGCAGTGGTGTTGTTTTTCCATCAAAGGAAAATCTCCATCCCGACCACCCTACCCCAGCCCACACACACATGCAGTAAATCCTCAGGTGCATGCACAAACGCATGCACAAAATGTCCAGTTTGTCGACTTCATTGTTTGTCGTTGCAACACAGGAAACACAATATTTTAGAATTTCCATGCATCACTCTCCTTAAGGCTGGCTAGAGGCATTTAAAGCTAGAAACACAGCAGAATTTAGACTAAGAGGTGATGTCATCAAAGAGCAAAGCTTACGCAGTTTAAATGGCGATGAGTGCGAGACTGACTTTACGGGCTCTGTTAGGTGTTTGGTAGACTAAGATTTTTTTAGTCACTTTAGTCTAGTAAACACAAGATTACAGTGGTGCTTTTGTGCGATTCTTTGTTGAGAAACTCAGTTTTGCAGAGCTGTCGGATTTAAATCAACTGATCGATTAGTCGTCATAATCGTATGATAGTTAGTCGAGGAAAGCTGTAGCTTAATACCAGCCTATTAAACTCAAAACCGACGCTGCAGCAGATGTCGGCTTCCATTCCCAACAGCTGACATCTGGGAGAACTGACTCCGGTTCAGGTAGAGCTGGGCGATATGGAGAAAATTAAACATCATGACAGTTTGCCCCAAATACCTCAATATTGATTTTATGACCATATTGTAGGATTGACCATTGGCGCTTTTACAAAATATTTACACAATGAGATTTTTGAACAATAATCATCAGGGATGTGGACATAGTGAGTAAAAGGTAAATAACAGAACAGTCTGGTAAGTTCAGAGGAATACATCTCTTTTCTGTAAAAGCAGGAAAAGACAACACTCATGCCATACTACAATAGACAACATCCAAGACCATATCTTTTCTCGCATCAATGTAATACGGATATATTGCCCGGCTCTGAAATAAATTTTATCTCCAACAGCAGCAACATGCCGTTGCACAACCAGCTGACAGATTTCACTTTACCCATGAATGTTACAAGACTCAACTGGCATTGCTTGGGTGTCATCAGCGAGTGCCCACCAAAGTGACTTTGCAGGAAACCACCGACAAATTTACCGTCTGAAACATCAAACACCTGAACCGGACAGGACTCAGTGGGCCGTCCACAGCTTTTACTTCAAGTTTTAAAATCCCGGTGGCTGCCATGGAAGAGTCACATTATACCCAAACCTTCAACAGAAATATGTTTCTGAATACATTCCAGGTGAGAGGTCAACTATGAAATCCCTGAGCAATGTTTACATTTCTAACCGGGCCTTGGTTAGGTAGTTGTTCACCAAGATCAGATAGTTAACAAGAGGCAAGTAAAAGTTGCAGCGCTGCTCATTGTCGTCAACCTCTAAATCACTCGCTAGACTACTATTAAAACTGAGCTTGTGAGATTTGTTGGGTTTGTGATGCTTCTTCTAGAAAAAGCTGGAGTCACCAATAATAGTTGAACCTGCTTTCTTCAACTCAGTGTTCAACTTGCTGCAGGTTTGTTTTTCTCTCTCAAAACAGCGTTTTCTCACAGGAAGTGTAACTATTTCAGAAAAAAAGCCCCCCTCTCTATCTCAATAGTTATCATTCTTTCATCTTTCCCCAGTCCAAATTCTTGTCTCTCAATTTTGGCAAAAGGGAAAGAAGAAGTTTTTAGCTCCAAGCTGAACTAGCCTAAAGCAGAATGAGTCCTAACATTGGGTGGTGTAAGTATGAAAGAGTAGTTCTGTGGCAGATTACTGATGTGCTCCGTCACATGCTGGTGGGGGGGGGGGGGGAGAAAGGGCGTTTCTTCCTATTTGCCACATGACATTAAACACTTGAGAAAGATGTTGGCAGTCAGAGGGAACAGCTTGTTTTGCAGGGAGGAGTTCACAAACCTGTGAACAAACCCTGGATGAAAAAACAGACTTGGACAGGCCTCCAGTTCCATGAAGAAGAACACCTTTTTTTTTTTAAATCCAGTGCAAGTGGGTGAAGGGCGGTTTGAGAAGAGAAAGCATGGCTCGTCAGCTGTGGGTGCGATGGGTGGGAAATTGTCTACGTTCAGACTTAAATGCAGACTTACAGTGAAGACGAAAATTTACCTCACACATTCATCACAGTGCGCACACACACTGGCTCATGACAGATGCTCTGCCAGCTCCAGTTCCCTCCACTCTGCCTGTGGTTACTTGAAGTCGTTACCACAAACCTACTTTCAAACCCCATCAGCCGGATGCTCAAACATACATGTTTATGTTGAGATGCGTTTGTGATGATAACACAAATACACCCTCAGGGAAGCGAAATACAGTCATCTTTTCACATTAAATGTTGGTCATAAGTACAACATAGTATCACATATAATGCCAGAGTTAAGAGGTAAACACAGGAAAGATTAGTAAGAACTTTTATAGTGATGAGCAGCCAACACAACTAAACGTGCATAGTACGTTATAGTTGTAAGATACTGACACAAATGCAATATTATTATTTGTTAAACGGTTGCAGACAGGCCCTAGTCCTTTCAGAAACACCACATGAATAAACAGACCATTAAATATACTACACAGTTACTCACTGAGCTCCTATGATGTCATGTTTTGATTCCAACCACACATGGCTGCACAAAACCACATTAAATGTTAAAAACATCTGCTCAAGTGGCCTGAAAGTACAAACTAGAACACAAAACTGCGCTCAGAGTCATAGAGTTGTTACCTCCATCCTGGGGGAAATGCCAGAGATCGTCCCCTCCTGCCTTTTTTCTTTTTGTTGTCGTTGCTGTTTTTCGGCCTGTTGGAGCAGACTGCCCGCTGGTTGAGAGGAGACTGAGGAGCGCAGCGCCGACAGAGAGCAGCTCTGTGTTTATATCTGGAGCCAAATGAGCCTCGTGGACGAGGAGGAGGAGTGGACAACTTTTACGCGCATTTGGCTCCGTCAGCGCTGTCAAATCGTTCAGGGTGAAAAGAAAACTACTTCTGCAACAGACTATCAAAATAAAATAAAATAACCCTGGAACTGCTGCTCTGAATTATTAGGGTAAACCTCCGTGCCTTCACATAAAAACATTTTTTTTTTGGAGATTTGTAGGTCCGACTGATGCAAATTTATACCAATTATACCGTTGGTGCAATCCAACAATAATAATGGAGCATCTACAAACGGTGTAAATGATCAATTGCTATTATTTCACCATTAGATGGATAAAGTGACAGCAGGCTACATACACTAAAAAGGTCTACGTGTATCCTTACTCGTGGCCCTATGGAGCTTTAATACTCAACGCACACCATGACAGAATTGCATGAAAAATGGGGCGGCGACTTTGTTTTTAATCAATTTCCCAATCAATCCAAGCCGCAGTCCTAGCTTTCTATGAGCCAACACTTTCAAGCAGGTATGTTTTTACTCCTGGCCACACCCAAATGAGTTAAGTCATGTTTCCAGCTGATGGAAAACACCTGCTGTGACATCATTGATTGAAATGTGGCCGGATGAGCAACATTGAAGTGTAGCACCATTTTTCTCTCGTTACCCTTTCAAACCTTAAATGTAGCTTCACTTGGAAAGTACACGTAGACGACACCTATAGCTAGAATTACCCTCCATATTTATACTTTAATTTGAAAGCAGTATTTTCTAACGGTCTATCTCTGTCTTGAGTCAGAGGTGGGGCATCACTACCTATAGCAATGAATAAGAAACCGCTATTTAGCTGTTCCTCCATCCACAGTACGTTCACCCTGATACAAAAATATATATATATATACATATATATATATATATATATACATCTTTATTATTCCTATAGGCTCTTGTGGCATCTAATGGTTGGGTTTTTCATATTCTATGTATCATCATAACTTCTCAACAAATCCTGTCGTTTCTCTCAAATTTAAATGGAAAAATAGACCAAATAAAAAATATATAATCTTCAACATCTACAAGCAAAACAGGAGTTCAAAGGTCAGACGCTCAGCTTTGACAATAGATCTGCAGATGAAGGAGTTTTTTTCTTTTTTCGGAAAAAGTATCTGAAGGCTGGATTATGATTTGCACTTCATGTGTGGACCATATGGCTGCAGGGTTCTTATTAGGTCCAGGCCTAAATCTGCATGTCTAAAATGCCTGTAGTTTAAGTCTCACCTCCACCTGTAACAACTTATGCATTGCAAAATTGAGTCTTCACTGGTGCACATTTCTAATGTTGCCTGTTCTCCTCTGAATGTACTGCAATCTGCATGTTCTCTCTGCTCTACGATGCCAGTCCAGGACACTCTCAGCTGGTAAGCATGTGCAAATGACTAATAGCTGCTTTTTAGGTAATTATTCTCATTTTGATTTTCAATGGAAGGACAAAATATCTGGGAGCAGCTCTGCTGTCCTGCGTGGAGCCTGGAAGAAGGCCAGTCAGTCACTTAAGCGGCTTGTGGTGTAGTAATGTAGAGAAGCCATCTAAGCTAATGGATTGGTTTCTAACTCACCAACAACACGACACGCAGCTGCAGGAGCGACCGTTCCTCCTGCTGCTGGTATATAATATGCTTTACAACCTCTCAGTCCTAAGTCGTGATGGAGAGAAATAACGTTACTATCCTTAAGTTTGGTGAATTAGCCGCTGAATCTGCTCACATGAAAAAACGCCTTCTGATCCTCATCCAAGCCCAACTTGTTTATTGAACATATTTTTGTTTACTTGTCAAATGGCAAAAAGCAAGTTGTGATCTGGTTTCACAGGTTTGAAAACTCACAAACAAACAGGTTCTGTTTTTTTAGAGTTTACATTTGTCTCATAGGATGAATTTCAAACACTGTTCAGGAACAAACACTTCATAGTATATATTAGCTTCCAAATTATAGAGCATTCTACTGCTAATTTAGATAAAGAATCGGAGCAATGGCTTTGTGAGTGACATGGTTCAATACACAACGGAAACTGTTTACTAAAAGCTTAAGAAGACAAGGTGATTAGTGCTTTATAAATGAAGCTTATTATCTGCTGTTAAAGGCATTTGAATGCACCATGGGAGTGCCTGGTGGTTTGTAGAATCCAAAGACATGTTTGAGTTTGTTGTCTTACTGTCATGCAGCTGTGACAACAAGAGCGCAGAATGAAAGTGAGGTGGCACCGGGTACACGCTTGGCTCTTTGTGGCAGAGAGACATGATTGCCAAAGGGGTGGACTGGATTAACCATTCCAGGCTCTTGTGTTTGCACAAGTTACATTACCTCCCACATCCAAATGAGGTGGTCACCAGATTCTGTAGGTTCTCCTTTATCAGCTTTAACAGCAAACATTTGCCACAATCAGTCTGGGGTGGGAAAAACATTTGGGTTTGGCGAGGAGGAGAGAGAGAGAGAGCGATGGCACCGGAGGCCATGAAGAGAACAGAAACCAGACTTTCTGGAAAGAGCTGTCGTTCAGACCCTTCTCCTAAACAACCTCCATTTTAGTGCAGCTTCCTGAGGCCACATGCATGCATGGACCAGCAGGCACAGGGAGCCAAACAGGAAGTGAATATGTGTGGCTGATAATTTGTGGAAATGGGCTGAAAGGGGAAGCTGATAAAGATTTCTTACAGGGAGAAGAGAAAAGCAGACTCTTTAAACGTAAAGAACAATGTTGATGCAGTTTAAAAGCAATGTTTGACTGATCTAAGTCCCAAAACATGTTTGACATTGATGTAATTTTTCGTTTCCACTGCATAGGACATAGGCAGTTTGTCTCCCCTGACAGCAGTAGCATTTGGCTCCCCCCTCTGGTGGAAAAGACCATTACATTGAAATGATGGCATGTGCAACTCTATTAGCTAATTGATTAAATAGCTCCTACCTTAAATTCATTAGGGAAAGTTGGAAATATTATTCAGGTGTTTGGGGAACACAACATAACTTTGAGAAACACCGTTTTTCTTTTAAGTGTGATCTGCATAGCTAGATGATTGGTGGTGGAATAGGCTGCGACACAAGGGGCACTAGTTAAAATCATACCTATAGTCCTCTAAATTGGTCAGGGTCGGCTCCGACTGGCATATTTATTTAATAATACCGAAAAAATTATAAAACACTGGCCGAATGTTAAAATGGGGCAGACACAGCCATCCAAACTCTGTGCTTGCAAATCAGTTTAAATATGTTTTGTTCATCAATTAAAAACAAATAAACCTTCATCTCAGTTGCTTAATAACAGGCCTCAGGACTGATACACTTTTGAGATGAGGGCGACAATGATTACACAGTACACAGCAGCAGTAATATAACATCATTGCAGTGATAGTTTGATTACTTGTCAGTTTGGAAATAACAGTATTTTTCTCCTCATGAACGTATACCTCTCTCAGGAAATGTGTTATCACATGTGATCCATTATATCAAATTATTATTTATTCAAATGGATCTCTGTCTAAGTATTACAGATCCAAAAGAGCAGAGGAAGAGGAGTTAGAGTGTGTTAGAGGTCCGCCGATGGAGAAGAAGTCATGACCTGAAAAGTTGAGTCAAAACAACCAAACTGTATGTTTCTAATGCTGAATGATTTGAGAGGTGGTGTGAAGAGGGCCTGAGGGGGGGTGTTGACAGCTCTGGAAGAGCCGCTCACTGACACTCTCTTCATCATCAGTGAAGAAAATAACCATCAGAGGAGTCGTGACACTCGCTGATCTTTCCCCAGCTGATGGCAGGACGGTCTGTGGCACATAAGCTTTTACCCGCTGCTTCAGACAGAGATGAATGGCTCAGTGAAAAAAAAAAAAAGTGTCATGAGGATGATTCAGCCCAGAGCGACTTTGTCTCTTTGTATTTGTGCAAACCAAGGCCTGATGATTCATGGGCAGAATCATGACAGTGCTTTTTAAAGAAGGAGCTGTACGGCAGACAGAATCTGGAAAACTCTGAGTTTATTTTGGGATGTTGTTCAGGTTATGAATACATAACTTTGACGTTACCTTTTTTTTTTTGCCAGAGTGCTCGTGGTGCAAAAGTGTACAATTTCTGATCCAAAAACGCAACATCGCAGGAGAATTGAACAGCGGTGTCAAGATTTTGCAAGTGGAAGCAATAAAAGCAAGAAGCTCTGCTGCTGCTGACAACCTAATATCTTTTCTTCCTCTTTGAAATGCACTTAGAGCGGCCATTACTTTGAATATGGTGATGCAGGGACGTTGGTTGCCGGCCTTAATCTAACTCAGAGCCCAGGTAATATAATAGCTGTGTCAGATTACAGGATGGCCGGCACGTACGCAGGCCCCAAAAACCTCAGGGCTCAGGTGGTTTCTGTACCAGGCACACATCAACTGTCCCATTTCCATAGTAATGTGCTTTTATGTTCTATCTATTCACTAGAGAGATGGTACACAACCCTGCAAACACAAACACACACACACACACACACACACACACACACACACACAAACCAGAACACCCAATGTCAGATCTGCACAACTAATGGACCACAGCTAATAGGTTCACTGGTTTTGTTTTTCTTGATTTATGGAAGCAACACACAAACCGTATGATAGCAACTGCACACCATACATTAAGCAAATCCAATCTTACAACATTATAAATGATCAGTCATGTCAAATGTGGCAAAACGCCATCTGTGGTCAACAAAGAGGGATGACTTATTAATCAGTGCTGTGCATTGATGGTAATAGTGAACTGAATCAGCGCACACCAAGCATGCAGCGGCACACAATGTATAGTTTGTTTGCATGAGACAAGACCACGTAAATGAATTCTTACTTTCCTCACAAACACAACAATGAATGAAATGTGACACGGTTGAAATTCATCATCCAGTCTCTTTGAACAAAATGCCATTAAATAGTAAATCTGAATTTGCGTTGAAAGTGCAGTGAAGCTCTCAGCCCTGCTTTCCCCCTCAAAGACAAAAAAAATGGAAGAAAGATTCCTCCTCTACACATCTTCATCAAGTTTCCTCTTTAGCTGCAGTCCTGAACTTTATTAAAGAAACATGCAAACTCTCCCTTGGTGGTGGAGTCAAACAAGCCTGTAAAAAAAAAAAAAAAAAAAAAAAAACATTGCTCAAGAGTGTGCCGAGGCCCCTCAGACCCCAGTCAGGCTTTCATTCAGGGTGGAGATGTGATCGGTCACGCACAGCTGCCTCTGGCCGCGGTGGGCCTGTCTGGAATGCTGGTGCAGCAGGAAGAGGCGTTTGGCAGCAGCCCTGTACTTCCGAGACATGAGGTTGTAGACGACGGGGTTGATTGAGGCGCTGAGGTAGCAGAGCACCATGGAGGCCATGTTGAAGTTCTGGCTCAGCATGGCCGTGTCGTAGTCGTCCACCTGGGCGAAGAGGTTCCTGCCGATGTGGTAAGGCAGCCAGCAGATGATGAAGGCCAGCACCACCACCACTGAGCGGGAAACAAAGCCAGGAGGGGGAGAGGAGTTTCATTCAAAGGCGGATTTAAGGAATAGCTTGGAAATTATGCTTTTTTAGTACCAGGAATGAATGTTTCTCATAAACACTCTGCCAATCTGCTTCATTTAGACTGAGTGGGAATAGTTTGATTAGGTTTAATTGACAGCTGCATCTTTTCAGATGGCAAAAATTCAGTTTCTTATATTGTCAGATTCAGACTTTTTGTTTTTTCTCAACAGAACCCTGTCCGCTTCAAAGCAGTCAGAATATCAACACACCCAAATCTCACATGTGAAATAACCAGTATTCTTCTGCCTTAAAAGTGTGTTCGTGTTGGGTTCATTTATCACAAGACGCTGATAAAGAAACATTATATGATCTATGGTCACCCTTGACATTTATTAATGACTAGCAGTAATTACCATCAAAAGAACTTTAACCCACGCACAAACACACTCTCACTTACACGACCTGCCTCGTTCCCTTAAGTGACGGTGGCCTACAATTGGCCCCAACGATGAAGTGACATTTTCCCGATTCAGACTGAACGAGCTGATTAGAGCTTATATGTAGCATATATGTCAAAAAAAGAAGATTTATTTGGCTTCTACAAGCCAGAAATCTCAGTGCTGGGTGAGCTAATCACTGTGTCACTGGTATTGATCAAGAAGCCCCCGCAGATAAAATTACCATCAATTTGTCCGATGGGGGCAGTCATTTCTATAAGGATAATAAATGTCCATTCGGTAATTAGAAGAGGAGTGTATCTGGCTCTACATGAGCCTAATTATCTGTGAATGAACCAGGACCAGTTATCTATAAATTGAAGACCTGCATCATGGACTCGCACAGTGAACAGATGCCACGGTTTTATCCAGATGATGTCTTTCATCATCGACTGACTCCTGAGATGTGTGACACACCGGCAGATTTAAAAGGAGCCCAGGATTGTGGGAGCATGTAACTTTCCATTAAGATTGATTTATGGAGGGCTCTGATGACAATCCAATTTGGGATTCAACAAATGTGGTTACAAATGACATGCAAGTCTGACAATGTGAGCTCTGTGCACTGTGTGCTCAGCTAATGAACAGCATTAATATCCTAATGGCTGCATCTTGATTGAACATTTGGTTGATACAGATTGGCCTGGCCACGGTCCTTTACTGTAGAACAGGGTTCCCTGCGCAATATGCCAGAGCTGCTATTTAAGCCAATCAGTATGCGCAGTGGCAGGACATGATGAGCTTCAGACAAAATGGAATAAAATGTTTTTTTAAAAGCTGGATTTGATAGGACAGGTTTAACTGCTTTAGGTTTTAAATGTAGAACAAATCAGTGCTTTAGATATGAAAACACAATTTAAATTTGCAATGGCAAACACACACAATAGAGCCAGTGCAGAAAACAAGAAATCCTAGATTCTACAGTAATCTGTCAGCCTGTTTCATTGTTTGCCTCAGCAACAATGAACGGCAGACTCATCTTGTAAACAGATGGATTTCTGGTTCAAGCTTTTTTTGTACCTACAAAGAGAGTTTCATCTGTTGTTACTCCTGAATCTGGATTGTCTGGCAATGGAAAGCAGAGAAAGCTTTCAGAAAGCACAAAAGAATCACACATCTGTCTGCACTCACCCAGGATCTTCACTGTTTGTCTGTGTGATCTTTCACGGGCCAAAGCGCCCTGCAGGTCGTTTTTGCTTTTCCACAACTTGCACCCGATGGAGCCGTAGAGGAAGATGAGGCAGAGCATGGGGCAGAAGAAGTAGGTGGTGGACACCCACAGCATGATGTGCAGCTGCCCCGAGCTGATGGCGTAGTTGGTGTGCTTGCACTGCCTTGTATTGTAGTCTGGGTGTGTGTCATTGTCGTACTCCACCCCAACCAGGAAGAGTGTGGGAGCTGCAGACACCAAGGCGAAACCCCACAGGGCGAAGATGATGTACTGGACCCTGCGCCTGGTCACCACCACCTTGCTCCGGAGGGGGAAGCTGATGGCCAGATAGCGCTCGATGCTCAGGGCCGTGATGTGAAGGATGGTGGCGGAGGTGCAGCCCTCAAAGATGTAATGATAGAAGCGGCACACCGGCTCCCCGAACAGCCATGGCACGTACTTCCACAGGCGGTACAGGTCAAAGGGCAGACAGAGGAAGATGATGAGGTCGGATACCGCCATGCTGGACAGGTAGAGGTTGGTGGTGGTCTTCATGTCCTTGAAGTGCTGGATGATGAGGATGGTCATGGTGTTGCCCGTCACCCCGATGATGAAGATGAGGATGCAGATAACCGTGACGGGGATGAGGGTGGAGGTGGGGAACAGGGAGCCCTCGTAGTGGTGGGCGTCTATGTTGTACTGGTCCATGGCCTCTGCTCCAGCAGCATGAAGGTCCACCTGGGGTCTGGTCCAGGGCATGCCTTCCTCGCTGAGGGCTGGCGCAGCAACGTGTGAAATCAGGACTCAACAAGTAGCTGAGGAGAGAAAGATTAGACCGTTACGGGTACACATATAACTTTCACATTTCTGCTCACATGCTGTGGAGATTTTAGAGGATTTGTTTTAATTCCAGGCAGCTGTTGGTTTCTATTCGATTATGTACATTGTGAACATCTGTTCTACTATACATAGCTAATTCACACGGTGAACGTAGAGTCCGCATTATTTATTGTCATGATTGTTGCAAGGTGACGTTGTCAGGGCATTTGAAATGATCGCCCTGCATTTCCTTGTAGCAAGAATGAAAGATAAATGCACAATTTCATTTTACACATCTCAATTGTCGACACAGAAATTAATGGAAATCAATGGATGCCTAGAAAAATATATTTAAAAAAAATGTGAAACACAACAACATATTAAATTCAATATAAAGTGAAAGCAGCGTGTACTCAAAAGGCAAAATCACTGGCGTGACTTCTTAAATCCAACCGTAAAAGCAGAAAAAAAACATCCTAGTGTGAAATAAATCATTGCTGGTGACTTTACCTTTAAAACTGAGCTGAATCCTTCAAACCTTTGAACTTTTTTTGGTCTCTGTTGTGTTGCTGTGTGTCGATGGAGAGCAGCAGCAGCAGCAGCAAGATAATCTCATGAAGTGGCAGAGCAGGTCCCCGATGCTCAATAACCAGTCGAGCTCTGGTGAAAGACGAAGAAAGGAGCACCTCCTCCACAGTACCCTGGGGAGTCGGGGAGCAACAGGGAGGTTGTCTGCTGTGTGTGTGTGTGTCTAAGTAATCTTCCTAATCAAATGACGACAGGACAGATGATGGTAAAAGGCATAAGATGGAGGCAATACGATTTGAGGGAACCCCCCCACCACCACCACCACCACCAGCTCTGCTCCTCTGGGAGAATAAATGCAGATTGAGGATCATACTAATCTGGATTGAGCATGAATACAAAAGAAATAAACATATCAAAAAGGGATACAACTTTATTAACTAATGCATAAATCAGTGATATCCAAGGGTGTTTGCCAAGCTGTCTGGAGGACGTCACTGAAAAACAAGTTCTGTGTTTGATTAATTGAACACCGGCCCAAACTGTCCGTCTGCTTGGCTTCATCACTCCACACACCCACCAGCTCATCTCCTCCTCCTCTTCCTCACGCTCACGTTACCCATCAGGCTTGTTATAATAAACCTGACTTCAACAATGCTGGTTAAGAGGAATGCCGTTCTAAGAATTTACATAACGTTTGGTCAGTATTTTGAGGTGTAATCAGGGACTTAAAAGGTCAAAAGTTGTGTGAGTTCTTCCACCTGGTCACAGTTTACACTCTGGTTTTCAATATTAGAATACAAGCTTTAATTTAGTGTGACCTCCAGCAAGTCAGTGCACAGTGTTCTTGACTTCACATCCAACTAATCCACAAATTCTGAGGTTTTCAGTCTGATTTCAAGTTTTGGAGCGAGTCTTTTAACCTCTGCGGAGCAGTATGACAACTGGCCAGTATCCGCAGCTAGTGTGTTGCAAGTAAAAGGTCATGAACATGGACGGCCGTTTATTTTTCAGTTCCTGATCTACAGGTTTTCCTTGTGTCCGAGTAAACATTAGTCACCAAAGCCTGGCTTTGGATGGCCAGCGGTGTGCTCTGTTGGTTCAGATCAATTAATTCTAAATGAACCTTTGTGGCAAGAGTCGCACTGACATTGAGGTGTATTTGCCTGTTTACACTGAGCTGATCCACAGCCGGATGCACCACTAGGACCTCAGAGGGGAGCAGCAGGAATGTCCCTCCTCTGTCATTGTCGACTCCTGTCAAAGCAACACGACAGAGCAAACAAGCCTTCCCTTTCTTTTTTTTTTTTTAAAATAGCTTTCCAGTCCTTCTCTCAACAAGAGCCAGTGTTGTACACAGAATGGTGACGGAGATGAGTAAGCCCACTTTCACCCTCATTAATCATTGCTCTCCTGCTCACACCACGTAGGTATGCTTGAACAGGAACTCTTCTATCTTACTCCAGAAGCTTCCATTTAACAGGCTTTGTCACAACAAAATTGAGACCAGACAGCAAGAGTATTGATGTTCGATTGGCAGTTGATCCTATTCTCCCGAATGCTTTGGACGCAGATGTTGTCTTGAGAGACAGACAGGAGGAAAAGGAGGTAAACGGTGGAGTAAAGAAATGGATGGGAGCTTTGTCTATTGGCTTTAAGGGGGATGTTGTTGCAACCACCTGTTTTTATCATCATCTGAGAAATAACAATGGTGGTATTCCAGCAATGTAGATGATCTTTGTACAATGAAAGCATCTGACAGGGTCCTTCCTTTTGTCTACTTGAAGTCTGAACACGATGTACTAGCACAATCTGCCCGTAATGTGGAGCTCTTCAGATTTGTGGTTGGTAAAGGTTTTTGTAATAAACTGTTTTTGTGTTAAACTGAAGTATAACCAATAGATTGACAGCTCTGTTTCTTGGTTGGATGTGAGGTTTGTAATTATGCCCCCACATGAAAACTAAAGGACATGGCAGAAGCCCACCATGGTGCGAGGTTGCAATTATACCACCTGAGGTGATGCGGTCACTTCTTGTTTCTAGTCGGTGTGTCCGTGTCACCAGAGTAGTGAGTCTGAGCAAGCAGCAGCTGAGGCACCATTGTCATCAATGATGGCTGCGAGTAACACGTATTTTCATTGTCAAATAATCTGCAAATTATTTTTTGATTAAAGTCTATAAATCATCAAAAAATTAAAATATGTCCAACTTCAAATGTGTCCGAGCAACAGTCTAAATTAAATATGCCTTTTACAATCGTGAAAAACAGAGCAACAGCCGGAACCAGCGGATGTTTAGTGGTTTTACTTGATACAGTTCTTTAACAATTAATTGATTATATGAATATCTAACCATTATTTTCTGTTGATTGAAATCGATAGACAGATTAATAAATTGTTGGTCAGAAACGTTTTACCTGGCAGCCAATCAAAATGTTATATTTGATGAGCAAAGACAAACACGATTAAGAATTATAAATCTTTTATTGTGCATGGATCCTTTGTAGATATCATGGCTATACAGATACACTTTAGATACATATCTATGATTATACATTTTCCCATAACGAACATTTTAAAGTGATATGTCTGGTAGTATGTATAGTATAACAAATTTTCATTTTGGAATGTACGGTGTATGAGGTAACTGCAAACATTCAAATTACATAAAAATGGTCTCTATTTTTGTGCATATTTTACTCATTTTGTTAATCTCCCCAACCGAAGGCGGTCAGCCCAGGATGGAGAGGTGTTAAAATGGCACATGTTGCAATCGCTATCAAAAATAGGAATTTGATTTCTTTAAATGACGAGAAGACATTTGCAGAATGCCTGAAGGACCAAATCATGTAATTATCCAAGACGTTTTTGCAAGGTACCTGTATTTCATTTTGACGGTTGCAAACAGCAGTTCTCTGCCCCCAAAAAACCAGACAACACTAGACCCTACAGCCAGATGACCACCGACACGTCAGCGTCACAAATCTGTCACGAATACTTAACACACAGAGAAAAGGCAAATTTAGATTCACAGGAAGTACATGATATAACACATTTTGTATTTGCCATTTGCGTTCCATGATTCATGAGTACTCAGGATTTATTATTTTCTCTGGAGAGTATTAACTTATATTACTTCAATATTATAAAAAAAAAAAATATACTTCACACATGTATGACCCGACGAAAAAAAAAAAAAAAATCAAAAGAAATCACAATACATAGAACTACTTCTCTCCCGATTACATACGTTTACTAACATCAAATAAATGTTGCAAAGAAGAACAGTAAATAAAACACGTTTTTAAGTTTACACTAAAACAAAAAATAAAAAAATAAAAATAAAAACTTAAGAGAAATTAAGAAAATTCTCCCGAGATTTTTTTCCTCTCCAATTAAGGCCTCTGAAACAACTGGTACTTAATTTTTTTCTATTTTTTTTTTAATCCTCTTTTTTTGTTTTTGCCGAGATCAGCTGTTTCAGTGACACATTATGTGGTACTACAACTTTTAAAAACACCCAAAACACAAGTAGGGTTGCACAATCTCAAAGTGTGTTCTATAAAATGCATCACGGGACCAAGACGCAGTCAGTCGAGGTTTTCTTTCACTAAGGTGCAAAAATCAATTACGGGGGGGGGGGGGGGGGGGGGGG